AACTACTTTGATAACTATATATTCTTGTATTTCAGAAAACTGAGTGAGAGTCTGGAAAGTCATTTTTGACATGCAGCTGTATGGCACACTATTGATGGATGGTGCAGCCAGTATTTCTTCTTCCTCTGAAATATCCTATATGAGCCACAGTAGGATACCATGCATTACTTACTGTCACAAAGTCACGAAAATGAATGGCACTCTGAAAGTGACTCAGTTTTTCTGAGGACCAAAGTAACTAGCACTAGAGGCAAAGTAGCATAAAAGATAAAACTGGTGTCTATCTCCAACCTGTCTTCCCTCTTGGGTTCTTTATTATAGAGTGTAGCCTAGACAAGAACAATGATGTCAGCAGATATTTCTGTACTTTCTGACAAATTTCTTCTATTTCAGCATTTCATGATGTTGCTGGGTCATGTGCAAGGGGTTTTACACGGGTAAAGTCCTTCCCCTTAGCACCCGTTTGTACATATTGCTGCATCATGTGACATGATCAAACTGCTGTATTGTTCCCCTGCTGAGTGTGGAGTTTCCTCTGCTATTTTCCTACTGATTTACGCCGTATCGTTGGAACCAGTCCAGAGTTTTCTGTGCCACAATGTCTTGCTAAGCTGTGGGTAGGGCTCACTGGCTGGTAAGTCTTCCCACGTTCTTATTAAAACCTCTGTTACTGCTTGCTGTATGTTTTGCTGTTCAGAGCGGGTAGTTCCTCCTCCTCCCCTTGCCTATGAGTGCTGGAGCCACAAGTTCCTGTCTTACCCCCACACCCATCCGCAGAAGTGATTGATATGGGTTTGGCAGCATGCTTCTGTACTGGGAGTTGGAAAAAGCCTCAGGTAAAGAACACAAAGCACGTTCACTGAGTTATTCCCCTAAAATCATAAACCATTTCACTACTGTCTGCGTTTGCTTGCTATGGGAAAAAAATGCCCTGAGATGAACCTACTACTGTTCAACATTGTACCAAGAAAAATGGGCCTCAGCAGGTTGCCAGGATTTGCTAGAATTACATGTTTTATAAAAAGTTGAAAGCATTTCCTTCTTCACATCCTTTGCAGAATGTTAATAGTTTAAGAAGGCAGTAATTTATATTTCCTTGTTTCAGATGAGTTTTTTTCCAGATGAGCATTTTCCTGACGAACTGGAATTCACTACTAAAATGCTTATGCTTTTCTTACATTTATTATCTGTTAAATATTAAAATTCTAAGTTTGCAGTGCTGCAAATTACTGCATGTGAGAAAAGATGTAAATATTGTGTGGTACAGAGTTATGTTTAATAAGAACTGTGCAAAATGGATTTCATCCTGTAAAATCAGGCTTAGCACACTAAACAACCAAATGGAAATTTCAGCTGTACTCAGTGACTGCACTTCTGCAATTTTAGCAGGGACCGAGAACAGTCAGAGCTTCACATATGAAGAACGAAATCAACTTAGGTGTCAAGACACTTGAATTAAACAGAAACATAGTATGTGTATGCAGGATGAGAGCCTGTAACTGTGGCATTTAGCTAGGGCAGTAATGTGTGATGCCAGTAACAATTAGTCCATCTCCTATAATAAACTATTTCAGAGATGAAACAGACTTTTTGGAAGATGGTGTACTTTGTACTGCACAACATTTGTATTAAAGAGCCCATATTCTACACGGTCAGTATAGTATAAGTAAAATGGATTAAGAGCTGGCTATCACATTTCTACAGAAAATTGTTAAAGCTCCAGCGTGTAATGGGGATATTCGTAGTAGGACTCCACAGCGATTGGTGTCAAGACCAACAGTTACTTTTATTTGATATGGAATTAAAGATAAACTCAGTTCCAGTATAATTTGTTAATAACACTAAAAGGAGGGCAGAACAAGTTGCACATAGCACAAACACACTCACTGACATGAAACACTTGAACATATATCTACCTTTTGTGGCAGGAAAGCTGAGGTGTGCTTGAACTTTAAAGCTCACATCATTCGTATGAAGGATGTGGTTAAAGCATGCAGCAGCTCTAGCCTGCACGGCTGAGTTTCTTTTTTGGGAAAACCAGGACATGAGTTGGAGGGAATCACAAGTACCCAGGGCTCTTCTTGACAGAGAATTCAGCTATAAGGAGAAGTAGGGGAATCCTATGTAGTTACCAGAGCATTTTAGATGCAATTTATATAAGCTTAGTCTATTTAAATACATATATTGAAAAAGCAAGCTCTACACTGAGCTAGAAGAACATGCAATATATCGAAGAAAGGGTAGCACACCTTTAACAGCCAAAATCCATTCAAAGGGGTCAAAGGCCACAGTAGACAAGATTATGAGCTCTCCTGGAAAACACAGAGCAAACATGAATATTATAATCCTCCGACCTTAGATGACAGGAAAGTCTGCGTAGGAGAAGGGAATGATTTTTCCTCCAAAGGTAGCACAAATGGGAGTATTACCTATAGTTGTTGCATTCACCTTTGTTAAATGATATTAAACAATCTATGAAGATATACAAAAAAAAATTACAAGTAATTTCAGACGCTGAACCCTACTGAAATTTATAAAGGAGAACAGAGAAAATTTAGACATAAAGTATTTGCTTGATATGAGCGAATTGTGTTGTAGGTATACACGGAAAGTGCCCTGTAACACAGAAAGAACTTCCTCATTGGTTAAAAGGAAAAATGGAGATGTGATATTTTTGTTAAATTAGCCTGAATTGTTTCTATAATTGTTTTCAGCCGGTAATAAAACGCAAGGTTAAACTGTGATATTATAAACATGTTAATATGAGAGTAAGTGTCAAACTAAATTTGGTCAAAGTAATTTGTATAGCTCATAAAAAATATATCCTAGGGCACTGGTTGTTCTGGTTCAGAAATAATTAGGAACTAAATAAAAAATAAGACAAAATAAGTTATAAAAAGCACATTTAAGGGCAATTAATCTTAAAACCCTGGGTGATATTTTTGGATGTTGCATCACTGCTTTTCTGAAGATACATTAGTCTAAAACCCTTCTTTTGATTTTGGCAGTAAGAAATGTTAAGCTTCTCGCTTGCTCTTTGTTGCTGTAACCCTGTGACCTTCTCTCATCACTTTATTGTGACTGCTGAGAAAGTAACCTTTCAGAAATGATAAATATCAACTAAACTCCATTTAATCGCACTCTGACCTCATAGTCAATAAATTTGGAAGGCTTGATCTATTTAATTTAGCAAAAACACAGAGGCAGTATTTGATAACAGAGTGTAAGTATTTTTTATGAAGAGAAAGTATCTGATGCAAACTACAGTCATTTCACTGGATGACTGAATAAATTCAAATTAGGAATTAGGCAAAACAAAAGCAGAGCAGGTAGATCACTGAAACTACCAATAAAACAGTAAATTATCCAATTTTCCAAGTCTGGATCTCTTTCTAGAAGATATACCTGAATCAAATGGCAACTATTTTGCTGTACGTAGGAATAAACAGTTCAAATGTTAGGGCAATGTACTATGTACAAGATCACACTAAATGTTCTGATGGTGCTTTCTGAATTCATAGGCAATGAAAGGTAGGAGAGTTTAGGGATTAAGTTTAGGGATTAGTTTTAAGATGTCCTTGTCTTCTTTTAAATTAAATCCGTTTAGAAATGTTTTAACTCAGAAAATTATTCATATCACATTACTGTCACTATAGCATAGAGTATTGAATTTTTTATTTCTAAATTATCGTGTTAATAGAAGTAACCTGGTTAATAACACTGCAAAGGAAAATAACTAGGCCAAACAAACCTGGGAGTCTAAAACAGTTGAGAGCTCTTTCATGAGTCAGCATATTGCTTAAAATCACTTTATATTAAAGAAAATACATATTAAAGGACAATTTACATGCACTTGAATATATGAATGTCCTAACAAAAATAATAATAGTATTGCATTTTAAACTCTGACTTCCTAAACTAACAATATATAGGCAGCTCAACAGATACTGTAAGTTCAGTAGTAAATACTCAATTTACTAAAGTCTTCATTTTATATTCAGGTATAGAGATAAATTAAATTATGTAAGCAAGCCAGTACCTCAAATAAAATGCTAACTACTTTAATGGAACAAATGAATTTTACAGGTTACATTCAGCCAGCACTTTTACGTTAAGTGTAAGAATAAAGAAAGCACTTACATACAAAGCACATAACAATCAAAAATAAAACAAAGAAAAAGTCAACTGTTCACTAGTATTTTAATAATAATTTTTAATAGGTGGTCACCCATGTTAATACTCGTCTTACCTAATATTAATTACCTGACATTAAATGGTTAGTACAAGTTACTTAAGATACTCTACCCAATCAGGTCCTCTATAATCCGCCATCTATATACAATGCATTTCTATTATTTGATGGTGCATTGTTCCATTTTAAAACAGGTGTCTGGATGCAGTACGGTCCTTACCTACTCACCCCTCTTTGTAACCTACTAGGAGAACATGCATTAGACCAGTTAAAGTCAGGTTATTTGAATGCTACATCTGAGTGTAATTGTTCCTAGGCCTTACAGCTAGAAAGGCAGTGTCCTCTTTGACCCCCATGTTGGGACACTCTTGCACATAAAGGGCAATTAAGCTGTAGTATCGGCTATATGAATTTCTCATATGGCAAAATACAGACTATCAATCAGACCTTTCAGAGTTACTCAGCAGGACACAGTAACAAGGAACATGGATAAAAGATCTGCAGTTTCTGTATCCCAAGAACGCAAATACGCACTGATATTGATCTCTCGGGAGCAAAAAGAATGTAGATCTCCCATTTTTGAAGATCTAATCAGATATAAAGGAACTCCTCAAATCTGATCTGGTTGACTTCAAATGAGCTTTTAGATAAATTTGGCCCAGACACTGAAAGCTCCTGGAAATGTTAATACATTCCCTCCTAAACAGCCTGTGGCTAAAGTAACAATAGGGAAAACTATTCTAAACCATGAAGGGCTGAGCACAGACTACAGTCAGGTTTGGGCCAAAAAACGGAGGGGAGAAAACCTTAAAAAAAATCCAAGAAGTCACCTAGCCTTGGCCCAACTACTGGACTACTTTACCATTTCTATTATTTCCAAAAGAAACCTTCTCTGTCTGGAAAGCACTACCTCATTTTATTTGTTAGGTTTTTCCTGTATGCTATTTTATCACTCCGCAACTCCAAGGCACTTTCTTAGTTCTGCTGCCTTTCTCTCCATCTGCTGAATGTTCCAGTGCCATTGCCTTTTATTTGAATGAAGTTTGTTCAATTGGCAATGCAAACGTTTTAGAATAGCATCGCATCTTTTATTCTGCACCTAATAAAATAGAATAAAGTACATTTTAAAACTGCTTCCAAGTAAATCAACGTTTACAGAGTGCGGTTTGCCTCATCTAACTCGTTTAAAGTGTAGATACTGACATTTGACCCAAACATCCATGTTCATTTTATAAGTACTGAAGAGACACGGACACATCCGTGAAGCAATTCCTCAGGCTTACTCTAGGCATCTGCTTTAGTATAATATGAATTATACCTCATTCTCCTCAACAAGGAAGCTTAAGCGACTACGTCAATGTGGGTATCTACTCTGTAAATGTCTAAAGTTTAATGAAGTGAATCCCATTCAAAGATTTGGAATCAGCACGTCACAGCTGTCACAACACTACTTTCTACACTAAAGATTTCAGGCTGCAGAGAAAGAGGTGACAAAGGCAGAAATTTTCATTCTTTGAAATGTGTGTTCAGGTATAGTTTAGAAGTGAGGAAAGCTAGATGGCTATAGAAGCAGCTCCACTGTTGTAACATATTTTTCTTAGCAAGGCAGTATTGAAACAATGCAGTACCTCAACACTGCATTATTTGGAGGAGAAAGCCTGCTAAAGACCCTTTGAAGATTTGCATTCTGAAGAGTAAAAACAAGAAATATTAATTATAATAAAAATGGATAATAGGTATTCACTTAGTGAAAATGTGGACTCACCTTAATTTGAATGGCATATGAGTGGTAGTATATAATTATTCTTCTGTCTGCTTGTTGAAACATTATTATGCCGTAATTATTGTACAAATGATGGCGTACAGCTGCATCAAAACCATAGCATTGCCAGAGACTTCCTATGAGTTTCGCTGCCTAAACTTAACATATAATCACGTAACTTCCTCACTAATGCTTTTATAAATTGCTCTGCCTTCTTTTATTGGCAATGAGTTGTCTTTATTCACGTTGCCTAGTTCTCTGCTATCACTGTACACAACTTTTCTAGTGATTCTGTCAAATTCACTCATCTGAATGAGTACTTGCAGAATCTGAACATCATTATGATGATTGTGCTATATGGCACTGAAACATCTACGATCAGTACCATCCACTCTTTTCAAGAATGTGCATCCTATCATTGCCGAGTAAAGACATGAATGAGGTGGTGGATGATCTAATTCTCATTGAATGAGACAGCTAAACAACAGAGAGGAAATCAGCAGCGGACTCCCTTGTTGATCTGGGGAAAATTATATAGCATGGAGCGAACACTAGTGAGTAAAATGTTGTGCAGGTCTGCAGGTTTGTTTGGTGCTGAAAGGAAAGTGAAAGAAATTGTGGAGGCTTTGGCTCAGGGAGCTGTAACAGCCAGTTGGGAAGCACAGGCCAATCCAGTAACATGGAAGGAGATGGTCCAAGCAGTAGAACATTTAATACTTCAAGTTTACATCCCTCTCCAGCACTGTTACTAGGGACTGTTTGGCACACCTGCTGAGGCAGAGTGCACTAGTATGTCTACTGGGCACAGGGAAGGAAGAACATTGCTCTTCTTACTGGGCCTTGTGTACATATAAACTAATCATTAGAAAAAAATGCCCTGGGAGTTGTGGAAACTGTACCTCTGGAGGTCTTTAAGAACAGGTTAGACAACATCTGTCAAGAATAATATAGGCATATGCTGAAGTGGAGAAAGGGTTGCAGCAGGGGACTAAACAGTCTTTTCAGCCTTCTCTTTCTTATTATTTTACGTAACAATCCATTTTCTGTTATTTATGGATGTCTTGAATTAGTTTTTATGACTGATGTCTTGCTCCTACACAGGTAATCACCATGATCTATTGTTAATACTCCTATCCAATTCTGGGAATCCTGGCTCTGCTCTTTAAAAGATGGGTGGTGGTACTGCTGTTCAGGAAAGCAAGTCGGACAGGGTCTGTGAGCTACCTTACAAGTCCATGGGTACCCCTAACTCATCTCAGTTACGAATTATGTGTATAGTTTTTGAATTAGCCTGCAATGTCAGATCACTGACTTCTCTTGGGGAAAAAAAAAAAAAAAAAAACTGAGGCACACATTTCCTTGCACACAGACATTTCATCAATAATTCCTTGATTTTCCAAAATTTAGCTGCTTTTGAAAGGCATTTCAAATCACATTCCTGCACAATGTGCTTAGTTAGGAAAACATTTTTAGGACACCTGAAATAATAGTGAGGCAAAAGGATAGCAACAGGGCTGTGAGAGTCAATTCTTTCTTTCTGAGCACCAGCCTAGCCATTAGCAGGGCTTCAGAAAGAATTCTGTAGACACTTAAGTGCTCTGGTATATAGGTGTGCCCTTGCTTCAGTGCTTAAAACCATTGCTGAATCAAGGCTCCAGATGTTCTACAGCAACAACAAACTCATTAATCAAATGTGATGATTAGCTTGTAGTGGGAGGCTCAGAACCCTGGGAACTCATATATTCTTGGCAAATTTATGACAGGAGACCAATTACTCTTAGTCCATGCAGTGCTAGAAGCTGAGAATCCATATGATATGTAGAAGTCACGTGAAAAGATCTGAGCCTTGGGGCAGGGGTCAGTTTGCAGATTAAGACACCTAGTTTTAGAGGTGTACACATGAGCTCCATGTTTAAGTTCCTATTTTAATCAACAGGGACCTAGTCAATACAGCCTATAAAGTCTAGAAAGACTAGATTATGCAGCTCACCCTACTGCAAACACCTACATTTGGCCAACTGAAGTGCTGTCTAGACTCTATCAATCAGCTGTACTAACTGCATCTC